AACAAGACTGAACTGACTAAGAACAATAGTGGCTCCTCACTCGTGTAATTGCAAAGCTATCTTTGCTGGAATAGATGGTCGGCTTCCACTGGCATCAAGGGCGAACATTCTATAATGCTTCTCAACAGATGCAGCGCCATGAGCGCGTGTGCACCACTTAGTATGTGTTAGCATTAGCAGTAGCGAATATAGTACATCTATGTCTTAACATAGCTGTACTATCTAAGAATCTTGACGTCTGAGAACCTTGACCGTCTGAGAACCTTGGCTCTTGACTTGTGGAATTCCAAAACCAAAACTGTTCTCTCGGAAATACTATTGCTTGCCTGCATAATATGAACCACAGACTGGAGCATCCGAGCTACGTGTCAGATCATGTGCTTTTGTTTTGTATATAATTGAATTGCACGCCGGTGAAGGTGATTGAAAGCAGAGTGAACTACAGGACTTTGTATCTGGGCTACGTGTTAGACCGTGTGCCATGTGGCTGGTGCTTTGTGCATGCATTGATTGTTCGCCAGTGAAGGTCACCGAAAGTGAACTGTGAACCACAGATGCAACCAGTGCGTACGTGACCACTTCAAAGATGCATCGATACTACACTGGAAGTTGAGACTGACGCCAAGAGAACCTTGTAAAAAACGGGCCGATCCTATGATTCGGCAGTCTGCTCGGCATCGGAAAAGAGATCCATGCTGGGCAACCCCCTGGACACAGCGCAGTGAACAACCAACACGTCTGGAAACCCAACACTCCCGGTCTTCGTAGAGCCGTCACCACCCCGTCTCGCCATCCTCAAGGGGCACTTAGGAACGGCGTCGGTGTTCAAGGACTCTGCTGCATTCGGTTACGTATGTCATTTGCTAGAACTTAGTGGACTACAAACTAATTATTGGTTCAGCTCTTGCTGTTTCATCATCCACCTGTTCTTGAGCATTATCTCCACATATTGTAACTTAAATGCATGCTTCAATAGTATTATGAAATGTATAACTAGTTCAGCTTGGTCGTCTTAAATACCCTTTAATTGTTGTAAATTACCTGTATCTGTATCTAAACACATATTTAAAGCTTTTGTTCTTTGCTTGGAAAAGGATCTCGACTCCTTCATACACCAGAGGCCCAACTCTGTGCCACAGCTTGGGAGGAGCTTGTGCTTTGGCCCCGAGTCGCGACAGTGAGACAAAGCCTTGGGACATGACGACCCTAGAGTTGCCTTGGGGACCGAGCTAATAGCTGACTCTGCATTGTGGGGGCCAATGCGACGTTGCCCCGCACCACGCCGCATCAATGTAAGATGTGGCGTGGAACCGTGAGCACCTTTCACGGACTTCACAGAAAAATATGTTCTCTTTATACTTCAATATGATGTTGTCCTTTTTTTCTCTGCCAGTTTGGACATGAACATGAGTATGCAGGATGATTGCCATAGCAGTTGGCACAGCTGTTGCATGCGTGGCCATGTACACTGCATTTGGCACAAGTTTGATGACCCCAGCAGCTCAGTGGTCCGTGGCCAAATTTTTGGCATTGGAAACATCGTCTGGGATTTAGAACGTATGGCCTGACAGTTAGTTTAAGGTAACCGGTTTCAATTGTTTAGGAAAGAGTGCTCGATGCAACTGTGAAAACGACATGTTTCGTTGGGATTTCCTTTCCTTCTCTTCTAATAATGGTTTGTTTTATGCCTGTCACATTTCGATTTTTCCATTCCTCTGGCAGTTCAGCCTCAGACAGGTCAGTGAGGTATGCTTCCGGCAACTCCATGTGAACCAAGAGGTGCTGCCTATGTAAAGCTAGGAGCAAAGGGGTGTGTTGCTTCCGTCAGTTGGGCATTAAAGGTCCAATCAATCAGCATAGGCTCAACTCCCAGGATCCCCGTTTCCCCAGACACTGCAAGGTCATGCACGGCTAGGCGTGGGAGGGGGCCAAAACCCACTGGTTGGCTCAGGTCTGTGGTGACGCTGCCCATCAAATGCCTGCTTTCGCAGACGCCCCTAAAGGGATAGAGCACCACATGGTGAATACTGTCTCAATGTGGACGAAAATGGCGATTTCCTGAAATTCGTGACTGTTTTTTTCTTCTAAATTCTAGAAACTTCAGGGCTCTGAAAACATTTTTTAACACAACATATACTTTCAATAGAGTAAGTTTGTTCTATGGAGATGATGCAATATTGCAATAGAAGTAATATTGGCATAGAATGTCTTGGCAAAATTCCTTCCTGCAAGCGTATAAGGCAGATATATTGCAATATTATTATTTAGCTTCAAACACCTTATACAATGGCTTTGCTTAATATGTAAATTAAGTTAAGAATTTTCGGTCACAAGCAACATGCTTCTCGTGTCCCTCGAGTGTCTCTTGTAAGGTCTAATATTGCCCGTTCAATATTAGACCTTGTTTTTGTTAATTCAAGCACACCTGAATATAGTGTCTCTATCAATAGTGGTATCTCTGACCACATGAGTGTCTTGTTGTCTTTTCGTTTAGGGGGCGTTAAGAAACACCGAAAACAAGTCAATAAGGTAGTGAAAAATTATTCTAATGCCGATGATCAATCAATCTCAGACACACTTTAGAATCTTTGTGACAGCCTGCCCAGTTCCGTTCAAACATTGTGGAATACCCTGAAGTCTACCGTTCACTTTTGCATTGACAGATATATTCCTACCAGGAGTGTCCGTACTAACCAAAACAACCCATGGATATCAAGAGAAATCATTCACCTTCATCGCAGGCTTAAGCGTGCCAAACGGCGCCACTCCCCTCCCAGCAAGTTGACCGCATTGAAAACTCTTCTTGCCTCCAAGCTTTCTGATGCAAAGGCTAAATATTTCTCGCAAACCCTTCCAAGTTTTATAAAAAGCTGTCCAGAGAAGTTCTGGTGTTACTTAGGTGATCGTCCTAAAGACGTCCAACAGATATCAATTAGCGGTTCTGTTACCGGTGACTCGGTCGCTATCGCTAACCATTTTAACCAATATTTTCACTCCGTTTTCTCTCCAATCCAAGATAGTACACCGTACAACATGCCTCTCCCAAATCTGTCCTCAGAATTTATAATCGTTGAGGGTGTTATTAACATGTTACTCAACCTAAAAATTAGATCTTCCGTTGGCCCCGACAACATACCCAATGCCTTCTTGCACTGATACGCTGAGCCGCTAGGGCATATTCTTACTCACCTTTTTAGGTTATCATTTGACTGTACCGAAATTCCAGACGACTGGCGCATGGCCTGTGTCGTACCAATCTTCAAAAAAGGGGACCGCCTCTTTGCAAACAATTACCGCCCTATCTCCCTGACTTCTAGCATCTGTAAACTCTTCGAACATGTAGTATCAGATTTCATTGTCTCGTTTTTAGAAGCCAACAATATTCTAACGCCTTGTCAGCACGGGTTCAGAAGACGCTTATCTACGCTTACCCAGTTAGTAACCACTATTCATGAACTTGCGTCTTCACTTGATAAGGCTGAACAAATCGACGTCATTTTTTTAGATTTCAGCAAAGCATTCGACCGCGTTCCTCACAGTAAACTAATCCTAAAGCTTCAAAAAATTGGCTTACCAATAACACTCATAAAATGGATCCAGTGCTATCTGTCTAACCGCAAGCAGTTTGTTAAAATCAGTAGCTGTTTTTCCGATACTCTCCCTGTAATTTCCGGTGTTCCTCAGGGCAGCGTGCTGTGACCCGTACTCTTTTTAATTTATATCAATGATATTTCTGACGTTATCGACGCATCGTCGATTGGTTTAAAGTTGTTTGCGGACGACTGTGTACTCTTTAAACGAATTTCATCCTCAAGTGACCAAAGTAACCTGCAATGTAACCTTGATGCTGTCTCTGAATGGTGTGAAAAATGGTCCATGGAACTGAACTGTGACAAATCTGTATTGCTCCAGGTAACTAACAAAAAAAATGCATTCACGTCCTCCTACAGGCTCAATAACCACACGCTGAAACAAGTAGACGAATATAAATATCTAGGAGTTACTATAACAAGCCGACTAACTTGGTCCAGTCACATTAACAAAATTTGCGCATCGGCGTCCAGAAAACTCGGGTTCCTCAGGCACAAACTAAAAGCCGCTCCTCCACGTGTTAAATTGCTAGCTTATAATTCCGTTGTTAGGCCGCAACTCGAGTACGCAAGCGCAGCATGGGACCCATTCCTTAAAAAAGACATTCACAAATTAGAAATGGTGCAAAGAAAGGCAGTCCGGTTCATCTTTAACAGCTATCATAGCCGAGCTTCTCCATCGCTTCTCATGGAAAACAACAATATAATGACCCTGGAACACAGGAGGCAGGTTGCGCGTCTAAGATTTCTGTTTTTGCTTAATTCCCAACAATTCAATATTAATCCAGGACTTTATATTCAGCCCCGCTTATCTCGTTCAACTCGAAGCACCCATGAGCACATTCTAACTCCAATTTTTGCACGCACTAATCTTTTTAAGCACTCCTTTCCCCGCACAATCGAGCAGTGGAATAGATTGCCTGTTGATGTGTTTTCGGCGCGTGATGTGTCGGATTTTGAAAAGCGTGTACTTTCTGCAATATTTTAAACATTCACTGTGCCGCTATGTTTTTTTGTGTACTGCTTTTTTTTTTTTTCCACACTTGTTGGACTGTTTTCAGAATTGTGTACCAATTTACCATGCGGATTGATGCTTTCTATGTAATTAATCCCTGCCCACCTGCTTGGTCTTCGGACTGCAGTATGTCTTAAATAAATAAATAAATAAGGTTTTACAACCGAGAACAAAAATAAGCACAAACTTCCCGTAAACCTGATTACACAAGAGCAAACCACGTACAATACTGTAAAAAAACTTGTTGTTGGGCTAGTTGGTACAACATTTCTAAAAGTTAATTCGAGCGCGAACACGCGACACAATCACTGTGTTTGATGCCTGGGTGTGTGCGTGTGAGTGATTGTATCGTGTGTTCGTGCTCGAATTAATTTTTAGACACGTACAATACGCACCCTGAAGAGAGACAGCTCAGCGGGTGTTTGGGCCGAGAAATTGAACTTGGCACGAGCCAGGCCTTCCAAAGCACGCTTTGGCTGCAAGTGCGCACTTTCATTGGGGATCACCTGCAAGACATAAAGAAGGCAAACAAACTAAATCGACATATTGAGATTAAAAGTAAAAATATTAATCTGGCAAAGTTTAGCAAACATCACTTTTTTTCCCCACAGTGCTAAAATATTACACCACAGCCCTAAGATTTCACCCCAACAAAATTAGTGAGATGAAACAAAATATTAAGAGAGCCATCCAATCAAATCTAAGCTGTGAGGTTACACAATTTAATGAAGTGGTGCATCCTGAAACACTACTGTACACACATACAAGTTCTTCGCTGTGATAAAGACCTCTTTGAAAGTTCAAATTCATTTCTAAAAAAATTATGCAGACGTTCTTTATTCCTTTGTAAGTTCACCTACCATAAAATTTCTAGCAAGCGCCCCTACCCGTACAAGTGACCCCTCCTCCCAACTTTACCAGCAATTTCAAATATCCGCGCTGCTCTGGGAAAGCACCCCCACCTCCACGTGCCCAGGCAACAGTGGGCTGTCGCATCCACGCAAGTGGATGGCTGCTGCCCACTACGCGGGTGGCAGCCACTTATACCGGCTTAAAGTGTCGTCATTGATACAAAAATAGGTCATTTTTCTCTATAGGCTTTGACAGCAATGAGCTCATGATAGTTTTAATCTGCTTCCAAGAACTATACTCAAGTTAATTGGGATACTTAGCAGGAATAACTATATTTACCAAAGATGTGGCTTCAAGGACATGCGACCAAGGATGCTGAATGAGAGGCCACATATCACAAACATCTGTTTCTTCTTGAGAGATGAATAGATGGTGCTACAAGTAGAACAATGAGACAGAAACCCTTCAGCAGAACTAGCCGTCTCATTTTTAGTGCTGCATAACTACAAGCGACACGTACAAACTTTGTTCAAAAATGTTTCTTTTAAGTCCATTGACAGTAAGCCAGTAGTAAATAACTTTTCACTGCACCTCAGCATTTGTTTCACTGAGGCACTAATGTCGTGATCTAGTTGAGCGCCCTGAACCAGTGCTGCCTTATTGCTGCACTCCCCGTGAACCACCAGGAACTGTGTTTGAGTTCTGCAGCTGAATTGAACGGACCCCTTGTAAACCACATCAGAAAAGCAGCAGAAAACAGTGCTTTCTTGGTGTGGTTTATGAGGTTCGTGTTTACATGGCCGCTAGTACTGTAAGGTATATGAAGGACAACTTTCTGCCACTGTTATCAGGACAAGAATGGTGTCTTTACCGAAATGCCCAAGTCCATAGACTTGACAAAAACCTCGGAGTCTGTTTTTGTTGTGTTTAAAATGAGGCAGTAAATTTGAGCAAAAGATTAAATCTCAAAAGCCTAACTAAGTTGCTGGAAAACAGGAACAAGTTTCAGTTAACAATATTTTTTACAGCAAGAACTCATAAGGGTGACTGTCCTTTCTGTGATTTTGTCCAAAAACGACACATGGCAGAAGTGCATGGCTTTGTTTTTACAGAAGCATTTGAAGATGCTTCCTGTTGATGATCTTTATTTGGTAGTAAAGTCGGAGCAAGTTGTTGATATTTTAAAGGTCAGGCAGGACCAGAACTTAGCAGTCTTTTCAATCCACATTTAAAATTTGTTTTATTAAATTCCACAGACAGAACGGTTTGCAGATATACTATAGACTACTTATAACGTAAGTAGCGGGAGTCGTGAATATCCGCACTATAAGCGGTACAGTCAAACCTCCTTAGTGCACACCGGCTTTAAGATAACTAACGGTTGAAACGTAGTTGCAACAAATCCCCGACCGATTCTCATAGAGACTAATGCATTTGAGGATTGCTTAAGCCATAGTGCATACTAACTGCGTACAGTGATAAAGTTTTGCACGACAAAACTTTACTGCTCCGCTGAACTTTGCAGGCGCCACAATGTGCCGTGAATGGTTCTCCGTCATGTTGATAAGTGCGGAGATCAGCCAATAAGTTATTTCGACTTGAGCGCGGTTGGGGCAATGACATCGCAAGTAACCATCGGGGAAAAAAAAAACGAAGGCGAGGTAGCAACCACCAAGAAACGCGCTGGTATGACTTATCGCCGGTGAAAAACCTTATCACAGTAAACATTTCCGGTTATCTGCTCAGGCAGGCGTGTGGCGTACCGTCACTTTAGGCCTACTGCACGCTTTTAGTACGCGGCTACCTGAACGCGCTGGGCCGCCGATCGCTGCCGCTTCGTTTCACGGGACTGTGTTAAAGCTCGCACCACTTTACAAAAATGCAAGCAACTATCTGTCACAGAATTTAGCGTTGTGGATTGCGGGCACCGAGAAAGCTTGCTGTATTACGCCAACACGCGCATCGTACAGTGAGCGTATCGCTGTTGTTACCTAGCTGCACGTTTTTATTTAGCGACAGCCCAAATGCGCCTCCGTCCGCTGCCAGGATTGTTAGAGCATCGCGGAGAGCACATTGCTTGAGGAAAGCTCTTTGTCGGTGCGTTAACCCAGGAGGCTACTCGCTGAATCTGTGCATGGCCTAAAGCGTGAGAGGGTGCACTCAATAGCAAGCGGATCGGCAGTCACGGTGTGTGCAGAGTGAGCGGAGCGCTGCACGCAACTAGCCATGCAGTAAAAAGTCTGACTCTCCGCGACTGTATCGCATTTTAAAAAAAGAAAACTGCGTCAGTTTTCACTTAGAAACAGACCGCAGAACAACTGTGTCATGGACAGCCGATTGTGTCTGTTTTGTCGCTATACCACGCTACATATCCCGGATCTCGTGGCAGTTTTGAAATGCTCATCAGCATCGCCACTGCATGTTATCGGGCGGTTGTGAGAGAGTCAAACTTTTCTGTACTTTGGCTAAAGAAAAGAAATGGCTTTGCGGTGGGCATTTCAGGCAATATTTCCAGTGGCACAGAGTTTCTTCCTTTGTTGGCGGTGAAGGCGCATGCCAGGAGAGGCAAATTTATATAGCTGGTGGTTAATGCGTAGTGCGTTTAGTGCATAGTTACGCCGTCGTCCCCGGCAGGTACCTAACAATGGGGTTTCACTGTACTGCACTATAACCAGAACAAAATTTTTCAAGGGCTGCACTTGCGCAAAACGTGTTGGGCAGGCAATTTTGCGTGTCCACGAATCAAAGCGGGCGATCGATGCGTGGTGTTTACAGCCATTTAAATTTACGAATGTTCAAAAAAATTTGCGATCCAACGACACCGTTTGCCAAAGAAATGAACACGAAAAAGGGGAGGGGGGTCTAACAAAAGAGAGCACCATCGCGAAAATTTACCAACTACTTGTCAGACCACCATGATTAAACGTGTTACACAGAAACTACCTATGTCATATCACGTCCGAAATTCCACACCTTGAAAGACGTCAATCGTTACATTTCATGGGCGCACACTTGATTTCAAGACATCGCAACCTAATCGCGAACCACCATTCAACGCTACAAGTGGCACTCTCATTTTCATCAACAATGTGTATCCCCTCCCGTCAAGCACAGCGACTGCAAAGACTTTCGTTGATTCCGTACCAGACCGCAACTTAGCACATGACTGCTACTGAAACGCAACCAACGCTGATTGGGCCTAGCCTGCCATTTGGTACGTTGTTGCAAAAAGTTTGTCAATGACGTCAAGATCCGGTGTCGAAAAGATTGCACTCAAGCACTAAACCAAGATCAGTGTGTGTGATACGAAGTTCACGTTCGCAGCCAGGAGATCAACAACGACGAAAACACCTCAAGCTAACGTAAGACAGCAGACTAACAGCAAAGGCAAAAGCTTCCAAAGCCCCAAAAGGTTCTGAATTTGCAGATGAGAAAGCAAACGTGATATCTGCAGCAAGCTCATTAACGACAACACTTTCCCAGCAGAAAATGGCGCAGTGTGCCGCGGTATTTTTTTCCCCCCCCCGCCTTTGATCACTCTGCATTCCCTCCTCCGTAACGACCTCGTCGCTCGCTCCCCAGTGGCGCACCCAACCCACCTCTTTTCAGACCTGCTACCGCGTTTGTCACAAAGATTTTCCCGCAATGGCATTGAGGCGCCGCAGTGGAGGGCTCCGGAAGTTTCGATCATTGAGCACCCAAATCTGAGCACACAGGCCTACAGTGTTTTAGCCTCCATTGAAAACGAAGCTGCCGCAGCGGGAATTTGATCCCGCGACCTGCAGGTCAGCAGCAGAGTTACCTTAGCCACTAGACTACTGCGGTGGGGCAGTATAAATTGTTACGTTATAAGTGGTCTACACTGCAGCATTGACAGGCTGAGGACTGTCAAATTGTAGAAATGCGTATAGCTTGTCCTGTGAATAGTTCTAAAGGTCTTCCGCTTTTATGTTAACAAATTCCTTCATGATCTTTCTATCTGTACGGAGCGTCTGTAAGTGTTTTCAGCTTTGTAGATCATTACCCAATTGTTTTATGCCACGACTCAAGCAACTTTGACTTGGAAGTCACAAAAATCCTGAACCTTTTTAATGATGTGTTGCCTCCGCTCTTACTGATGCATGAAGTCCTGAAGAACAATTTCATAAAATTTTAGAACATAGGGGTGTCTGTTGGAGCTATGAGCCTTGAGGTAATATACCAGTGTTTCAATTTCATCCTCTCATTTGAAGTTAGTTAAGTCTGCTATGATCCAGTCATGTTTCCATAATTTTCTGTGTAAGTATCATGAGCATAAGATTGAACAAAGTTTGTGGAGCCAGGTTAACCATCTGCAGACCTCTGGTTACCCTATGAGACTGTCGGCGTAGGCAAAACATTTGAGCAAAAAGTACTAGTCAAGCTTGAGTGAATGTAAAAGTGACACTGCAGTGAAAAAAAAAAAAAAAGGTTGCAGTGTTGTTGTACATTCATACCACATTATTATTTATTTATTTTTATTTATTCAATACTGTGGACCTTTTCAGGCCTACACAGGAGAGGGCGTACAGAGCAAATAACACTTCATATCGCAAAGATGAAAAGGAAAGAAAAATAACGATACAACAGTATAAAGCAATAAATGAACAATGCACATGTGTTTCACAGAAAAAAA